TTATAAAAATAAACTAGGAGGACGGAAAGTCAGCAATTATTACATGCACCTGATTCTAATTGGAACTATCATCGATCACAATTTGCCAATATTTTTTCAGGGTCTAACATAAATCGTGGATTTTTTAAAGAATATTTTTTCAGGCCCTAACATAAGGCGTGGATTTTTTTAAAGAATATTTTTTCAGGACCTAACATAAGGCGTGGATTTTTTTAAAGAATATTTTTTCAGGACCTAACATAAGGCGTGGATTTTTTTAAAGAATATTTTTTCAGGACCTAACATATAGCGTGGATTTTTTTAAAGAATATTTTTTCAGGACCTAACATATAGCGTGGATTTTTTAAAGAATATTTTTTCAGGACCTAACATAAGGCGTGGATTTTTTTAAAGAATATTTTTTCAGGACCTAACATAAGGCGTGGATTTTTTTAAAGAATATTTTTTCAGGACCTAACATAAGGCGTGGATTTTTTTAAAGAATATTTTTTTAGGACCTAACATAAGGCGTGGATTTTTTTAAAGAATATTTTTTTAGGACCTAACATAAGGCGTGGATTTTTTTAAAGAATATTTTTTTAGGACCTAACATAAGGCGTGGATTTTTTTAAAGAATATTTTTTTAGGACCTAACATAAGGCGTGGATTTTTTTAAAGAATATTTTTTTAGGACCTAACATAAGGCGTGGATTTTTTTAAAGAATATTTTTTTAGGACCTAACATAAGGCGTGGATTTTTTTAAAGAATATTTTTTAGACGTCCGATCGATCCGGGGAGCGAATATCGATTTGGACCATTACCTTGTGGCAGTCAAGGTACGCACCCGTCTTAATGTAGCAGCAAAGGTGCGATCTAATGTAACACGGAAATTTGACGTCGAAAAGCTGCAAACACAACGGATAGCAGAAGCCTACTCCGCTCAATTTACACAACTGCTTGACGATAGCACCCCTGGTCCCGATAATAATATAAATGAAATAAATAAATAAATTGCAGAGAATTGCCCACTCCCTACAAACTGCAGCAAAAGCAACACTTGGGTACCAAAGACCACCATCCAGAAATCCGTGGTAAGATCAAGAGTGTAGTAATACTACTGATATGAAAAACGCAGCATATATGGCAATCCTTCGGACAGTAGCAACACGTAATGTGAGGGAGAATTATCGGGAGAAAAAGAAAGAGGAGAAACGTATTTTCAGAAGAAAGAAGAAAGAACAAGAAAAACGTGAGCGTGAGCAAATCGAAATGTACAGGAGTCTGAATGAAGTCCGAAAATTCTACCATCGGGTAAAACGCCAAACCGAAGGCTTTGGTGCAGGCACATCCTCCTGTAGAGATAAAGAAGGAAACCTGGTGACAGATACAGACAAGGTTCTGAGGATCTGGAAGGAGCATTTTGAAAAACTTCTGTTATCAAATAGTAGCGGGTGAAGAGTATACCCCAGAACCAATAATAGATGACAGTATAGAGTGAATACCACCTAGCCAAGATGAAGTCAGTATAGCAATCAATCGGCTGATGGCTTACAAGCCGAACTATTCAAGACTGGTGGTCAGATGCTGGTAAGGAGCATGTACCAGCTGATTAGTACAATTTGGCTAGAAGAATGCATGCCCAATGATTGGAACTTCAGTATCCTGTGTCCCGTGCACAAGAAAGGAGACAAGACGATATGTACCAACTATAGAGGAATAAGTCCCCTACCCATCGCATATAAAGTGCTATCCAGCGTACTGTGTAAACGACTGAAGCCAATGGTCAATGACATTATTGGACCATACCAATGCGGCTTCAGACCTGGCAAATGTACCATTGACCAGATTTTCACTCTGCGCAATTCCTAGAAAAAAACCCCACGAAAAACACATCGACACATTCCACCTATTTGACGACTCTAAGGCCGCATTCAACAGCCCCATTCGTTCAGAGGTGTTTGCAGGATAACTTTAACTGGCACAAGATCAGCAGTTAAGATCGGAAAGGACCTCTCGGAGCCCTTTAATAACGAACGAGGACTCAGATAACGTGACAGTTTGTCGTGTGACCTTTTTAACATCCTGCTGGAAAAGGTCATACGAGAGGCAAAAGTGAACAGAAATGGCACTCTGTACACCAAACAACACATGTTACTCGCCTACGCCGATGACATCGACATAATGGGTCGAACACTGAGAGCGGTAACAGCCACCTTTGAACAAATTGAGAAGGAGTCTACCAAAGTGGATCTGGCAGTAAACGGTGAGAACACCAAGCTGATGGTATCAACGCGCAAGACGTCCAGTAGACTCGGACCAACTGCGGAACTTGAGAACTACAGCTTCGAGGTAGTCAACGATTTTATATACCTTGGTACCGCCATAAACAAAACGAATGACATCAGTTTTGAAATTTGGAGAAGGATAGTGATGGCCAACAGATGCTACTATGGCCTGAGCAAACAACTCAAAACAAAACCAAACTCACACTCTACAAGACGCTGATACTACCCGTGCTATTATATGGATCTGAAGCATGGGTACTTACGGAAGCAGATGAGGCAGCTCTTGGAGTGTTTGAGAGAAAAATTCTCCGAAAGATCTATGGGCCGATCTGAATTGACGGAGAATATCGCCAGCTATTCTCGGACATCGACAGTCGTATTGAGCTGCAGCGACTACGTTGGCTCAGAAGCCCAGAAGGCATATAAAAGCGAACCAGCTGATGGTTCACGCAGAAGGGGAAGGCCAAGGATACGATGGAAAGATCAAGTCGAAGACAACATTGCCGAAAATGTTCTTTCAAATTGAAAAACTGCGCAAAAGAACGACTCTCGTGGAAATCATTTCTAAGCTCGGCTTATGGAGCGAAAGTTCTGTCACAAGCCAGCTAAGTAAGTAATTTTTCAGAACCTAACAAAAGGCGTGGATTTTTTTAGAGAATATTTTTTAAGGGACTAATTTTCAATAATAGTCCATTATGCAGATTCTTTATCCAATTGACCGGTTGTTTTGAAATCAGTCTAGATTTTTTTTTGTTATTCTAATTTAAATAAAATTTAAAAAATTCCGGGTAAAGATGTTGTTTAAACAACAGCTAAATTGGTTTTTATTGATCGCACATTTATTATGGATGGATGGCGTTTCCTAACTGCAATGCATATATAATAAAACCTACAATGAAATAGATTGTTCCTGTTTGTTGTTCGGTTCTATATTCATATTAATCGCAATAAAAATTTCATCCACAAATTCATTTTAATCAACGTAAAACAATTTATTTCAATTGACATTGAACACATAATATGAGGTCTTGAGATATTTTGCGGAAGAAAAAGGGCGAAGATAAAGAAATTATACAAGCTTAAGAAAGATATTTTTTTGTAATGTACGTTAATAGGTATGATACAAGTTGGTAGTCCCTATATTCTATAAAAAATCTACGCCTTATGGTAGTCCCTATATTCTTTAAAAAATCTACGCCTAATGGTAGTCCCTATATTCATTAAAAAATCTACGCCTTATGGTAGTCCCTATATTCTTTAATAAATCTACGCCTTATGGTAGTCCCTATATTCTTTAAAAAATCTACGCCTTATGGTAGTCCCTATATTCTTTAAAAAATCTACGCCTTATGGTAGTCCCTATATTCTTTAAAAAATCTACGCCTTATGGTAGTCCCTATATTCTTTAAAAAATCTACGCCTTATGGTAGTCCCTATATTCTTTAAAAAATCTACGCCTTATGGTAGTCCCTATATTCTTTAAAAAATCTACGCCTTATGCTAGTCCCTATATTCTTTAAAAAATCTACGCCTTATGGTAGTCCCTGAAAAAATATTCTTTAAAAAATCCACGCCTCTTACTAGCATTGAAAAAATATTCTTTAAAAAATCTACGCCTTATGGTAGTCCCTGAAAAAATATTCTTTAAAAAATCCACGCCTCTTACTAGCATTGAAAAATTATTCTTTAAAAAATCTACGCCTTATGGTAGTCCCTGAAAAAATATTCTTTAGAAAATCCAAGCCTTATGATAGTCCCTGAAAAAATATTCTTTAAAAAATCTACGCCTTATGGTAGTCCCTGAAAAAATCTTCTTAAAAAAATCTAAGCCTTATGGTAGTCCCTGAAAAAATATTCTTTAAAAAATCTACGCCTTATGGTAGTCCCTGAAAAAATATTCTTTAAAAAATCTACGCCTTATGGTAGTCCCTGAAAAAATATTCTTTAAAAAATCTACGCCTTATGGTAGTCCCTGAAAAAATATTCTTTAAAAAATCTACGCCTTATGGTAGTCCCTGAAAAAATATTCTTTAAAAAATCTACGCCTTATGGTAGTCCCTGAAAAAATATTCTTTAAAAAATCTAGGCCTTATGGTAGTCCCTGAAAAAATATTCTTTAAAAAATCTACGCCTTATGGTAGTCCCTGAAAAAATATTCTTTAAAAAATCTAGGCCTTATGGTAGTCCCTGAAAAAATATTCTTTAAAAAATCTAGGCCTTATGGTAGTCCCTGAAAAAATATTCTTTAAAAAATCCACGATTATTACTAGCCCTGAAAATATAACTCATATATTGCCCTGAATTCCTGAAGTTAGACTTCAATAGTCCTTGAAAACTTATAAACGCTCTTTGAAAGAAAAAATATTTTTGTAATCCACGCTATACCAAAAATCCACGTTCTGCTGATGTTGGTTAGAAAGCTGAAAGCTTACATCCAGTTTGTACAGTACAGTTGTGAAATTCCCACGGTGTTATCACTGCCAAGTGAATGGCAAACAATAAAAGCACACACAGTACAACAGCTAACAGCTGTCATAACATTTCACAACTTTTATCCATACCTACACAAAAGAACAACAAAAGAATTTGTTTTCCTCACAAAACTTTTGAGGAAAATATTTCGCAATTATTTTTTTTATACTACAAAAGTACTATAAGTACTCAAAAAATACAGGATCATCGCCTATTTTTGTAAGTAAATAACAAATCTCATACTCACACACATCGTAGTACAAATGGCTGCCAACAACACAAACACCAACAATCAACAACTTCCAACAATGACGCCGCCGTCGAATTGCTGGGGAAATGTTCCAAAACCCATTGTGGAGGATATGAATTTTGCTGCCATTGTGAAAAATCAGAAAAAAGAAAAAGTCCTAAAGCAGGCAACGGAAAGGGAAAAAATAAAACTGCAAGAGGAACGTGATTTAGAGGAGGCCTTGGTGAAAAGCCTTGAAATGGCCACCTTGCAAGAAGCAACCACCTCCTCCACGCTGTTAGGGGGCCAAGGGGATGATGACGAAGAAGATTGGGATTTACTCAATCAAGAAGACGACTTTAAATTCATTCTACCACCTGAGGTATTGGAATTCCTCAAGAGTGAGGAGGAGGAATTGGCTGCAGCTGAGAAAGCAGCCATTGAGGGTTGTGATTCGGATGCTGTAATTGCCCAAATGTTACAGGCTCAATTCGATAAGGAATACAATGAGGAGCTGAAACGCATTGAAAAGGCCCAGAATAAACAATCGAAAATTACCGTGTGTTTGGATAAATACATCAAGCCCTATATCCGAGACGTTGGTGAGGACGACGATAGTGATTATGATTACGACGAGGATGATTTAAATCGTGAAAAACGTGATTGGGATCGTTTTGAGACGAATGAACGCCGCTTTGAGGCTATACCCAAGTGCGGTTATGGCCTGGATAAGGATGGTGAAATGATTACGAAACATGATGAAAAATTGTGCGGTGTTCGCAATGCCTGTCGTATGATGTCGCTGCCACTGGAATTTGCGACAGGTGATGGTGCCGGTTTTGATATGAAACTTTCGAATCGGGTAAGTGGTGGAAACATATCTTCATGTTTAAAAAGTGTAGAACCGTGAAACAAAAAAATCTATAAACACCCCAGTTAAAAATATCCCTGAAAATCTATTTTTTTAAATATCCACGAATTATGGTAGTCCTGAAAATGTGTTCCTTTAAATATCCACGAATAATGGTAGCCCTGAAAATCTATTTTTTTAAATATCCACGACATATGGTAGCCCTGAAAATCTTTTTTTTTTTAATATCCACGACTTATGGTATCCCTGAAAATCTATATTTTTTAATATCCACGACTTATGGTAGCCCTGAAAATCTGTTCTTTTAAATATCCAAGCCTTATGGTAGCCCTGAAAATCTGTTCTTTTAAATATCCACGCCTTATGGTAGCCCTGAAAATCTGTTCTTTTAAATATCCACGCCTTATGGTAGCCTTGAAAATTTGTTCTTTTAAATATCCACGCCTTATGTTAGACCCTGAAAAAATATTCTTTAAAAAATCCACGCCTTGTTTATGTTAGACCCTGAAAAAATATTCTTTAAAAAATCCACGCCTTGTTTATGTTAGACCCTGAAAAAATATTCTTTAAAAAATCCACGCCTTATGGTAGTCCCTGAAAAAATGTTCTTTAAAATATAATTGCCCTATAATAATGAAAAAAACTCTTTATAGTTTAAAATATTGTTTTAATTTCCATTTAATTTTTTTTCCAGCTCAAGAAACATGTGTTGGTTATGTCATTTATTGGTAACTTCGTAATCAAATATGTGAAATATTCTTCGACTGGCAAGAAGCTGTTATACTTCACGCCTCTTTCAACCAAACTCAAAACCTATTTCTTTTGTGGCCACCGCTGAAGCAAAAATCGCGATCGTTACATCTTAACGATTTCAAGCATTTCAATGTCCGTTTTGGCAAGCAGAATAACTTCGTAATCATTAATATGTGGGCCGAAAAGGAAATGCAGGCCGCTCCTAAGCTTAAAGATGCTCTACTATCGGCAGCCGAATGGATTGCTGCCTATGATGAGGTGGTAACGGCAATGCATAAATTATACAATGAGGCTAAATTGGTTCATGCCGATTTGAGCGAATACAATATCTTGTGGCATGATGGCAAATGTTGGTTTATCGATGTGGCCCAATCCGTTGAACCACAACATCCCTCGGCCTTGGAATTTCTGATGCGCGATTGTAACAACATTGTTAGTTTCTTTGAAAAGAAGGGTGTGCCCAATTGCCACACCAAGGAACAATTATTCGAACACATCACTTCATTGAACGCGGAGACTATAAATGTGGCCATGTTGGAACGTATCCACACCAAAGGTGCCAATATACAATTGGCCACAGCACCAAATCAAGATGAATGCCCACTGGAAGCTAAACCCTTGGAATATCCATTTGATTTGGCTTGGGAGAAAACCACTCAAAATGTCAATGTTGATTGTAAGATGCAGGCTGCATTAGCCGAGAATAAAGCTGAGATGTCATCATCAGCAGTTATGGCACAACCAATTGTTGTTAATACTATTACAGACACTGCCAACATTTAATTTCATTTTTTCTTAAGGTATAAACATATAAAAACTTGATGAATAAATATTTACATAATTACATATAAGTAGTCGGTCGTCCTGGGCATATTCTTCCTCTGAAGAACCACCATATATATTACACATATTTTAATATAATTTATTTTAACAATACAATTAGTGCGCGGTCGTATAACAAAATAAAATTTTGTCAATCTATGGTAGTAATAAAAATGGTAGCTTTGAAAACAGCAAAATATTTTTTTTTTTTGTCCACTGGCGTCATAAGGAGGCACCACTTAGCAGTTCTCAGTGCGGCATTCTGACAGGTTTGATTCTTCTTCCACTGTGTATCGCTCACATTCGCGAACCATACTGGCGCCGCATAGCTTACCACCGACCGACCTATTGATTTGTAGGATGTCAACAAGGTCTCTTTATCAGCACCCCAAGAGCTGCCGGCAAGCGACTTGAGGACCTTTCACAGATGTCATCGATTCAAACTGTTTTCAGTGGCCTTCAGAGCGTATATTTTTCAAAGAATAATTTTCCAGGCACCATCATATCATCGATTTTTCAAAGAATATTTTTGAAGGACTAGCAGAGCGTAGATTTTTCATAGTGATTTTTCAGATTGTCGATTTTTCAAAGAAAAATTTTTGAAGCCACCATAAGATCGTCGATTTTTCAAAGGATTAACAGAGCGTAGATTTTTTAGGGACCTTTAGAACATAGATTATCAACGAAAAAACTGTACTGACTATTAGATCGTAGATTTTTAGGGACCTTCACAACGTTGATTGTCAACGAATATTTTTTTACGGACTAACAGATCGTAGATTTTTCAAAGAATATTTTTTTCAGGGACCATAAGACCGAACATTAAAAAAAAAAATCAGGGACTATGGAAGCGTAGATTTTTTTAAAGAATATAGATTTTTCACAGAATAGTTTTTTAGGTACCATCAGAGCGTAGGAATCTGAGAAAAATTTTAAAAAAATTTTTCTCAGGATCCATGGGAGCTTAGATTCTTCAAAGTATATTTCTTATGGACTATCAGAACGTTGATTTTTATACCCTTCACCACCCTGTGGTACAGGGTATAACGTCTTTGTGCATATGTTTGTAACAGGCAAAAGGAAACGAGGTAGACCGATGGTCTATCACTTTCTGAGTCGATTTATGCATGTCAGTCCGTCGGTTCGTCTGTAGATGTTAAATTGTAAACAAAGTACAGGTCGCATTTATGATCCGATTTGGATGAAATTTGACCCACGTCCCTTATTTGGCCCAATGGTAAACCCTATTGAAATTGAAGATAATCGGATCAGATTTAGATATAGCTCCCATGTATAATTTCATCCGATTTAATCATAGGTGCCCAAAATTAAAATGCGTTAGTATGTGTGAGTGAAAACAGAACAGTACTGAACAAAATTGTGTGTACATTTTTGTGGTCGGAAAAAATTATTGATGAATTCAATTTTTGTTATTATATAAAACAAAAGCATTATTAAAAATGTTTTTATATGAATTACAAAGTGTATATGTCATAAAAATATAATAAAGTTTATAATGTAGCATATACCGGGATAATAATCATATTATAATATTAAATACTACGATAATTATCAAATATTTAATTCTTTAAAAAAAAAAACAGAAATTGTTCTGTTGTTTCTAAAATTTTTTAAACATACAAAACGCATTTTGAATAATAAAATAAAAATCCAAATATACTGAAACACTTTTATCCCTAAGTGTTATTTCGTTGATTTTCTAGTTCTGCGGACACGACGTCGTGCGCACACCCCAGTATGTGTTCATTCGTTGCCTGTCAAACAACGACTGACTGAAAGAGCATAACAATGCGTGTGAGTAGACAGCTACTTTAAAGTATACTGATGGGCACCTATGGATTTAATGTAAATGGTGTACCAAAGTCCCTATATGTCATCCTATTTGTGGCTCAATCCGTTGAACCACAACATCCCTCGGCCTTGGAATTTCTGATGCGCGATTGTAACAACATTGTTAGTTTCTTTGAAAAGAAGGTTGTGCCCAACTGCCACACCAAGGAAATATAAATGTGGCCATGTTGGAACGTATACATACCAAAAGTTGCCAATATACAATTGGCCACAGCACCAAATCCTATTTGAATGAATTTCAGCATAGCGTGTAAGTCTAGAATGATGTGTGTTAAGTTTCGTGAAAATCGGTTCGGATTTAGAGAAAGCCCCCATATATATATTTTTGACCGATTTTAAGTAAATGGTGCACCAAAGTCCCTATATTTCTTTCGATTTGCACGAAATTTGACATAGTGTACTGAATAGCGTCTAGAATGACGTGTGTCAAGTTTCGATATTGCTCTCATATGTATTTTCGTCCGATTTTATATAAATGGGGCTCTAAATTCCCTAAATATCTTTCGATTTCCATGAAATTTGGCATTGAGTACTGAATTAGGTCCAGAATGGTGTTTGCTAAGTTTCGTGAAAATCGGTTTCGATTTAGATATAGCTCCCACATATATTTTCTGCCGATGTAAGGTAAATGGGCACCAAAGTCCCTATATATCTTCCTATTTGCACGAATTTCTGCATAGCGTACTGAATTAAGTCTAGAATGATATGTATTAACTTTCGTGAAATTCGGTTCAGATTTTTATAAAGCTTCCAATATATTTTTGACCGATTTAAGGTAAATTGGCACCAAAGTCCCTAAATATCTTTCGATTTGCATGAAATTTGGCATGGGATACTGAAGTAGGTCCAGAATTATGGGAAGGTATCTAAATCTGAAAATCGGTTCAGATTTAGATATAGCTCCTATATATAATTTCGTTCGATTTTATGTAAATGGTGCACCAAAGTCCCTAAATATCTTTCGATTTGCATGAAATTTGGCATAGGATAGCGAATTAGGTCCAGAATGATGTTTGCTAAGTTTCGTGAAAATCGGTTTTGGATTTAGATATAGCTCCCATGTATAATTTCGTCCTATTTAATGTAGATGGTCCTATATATCTTTCGATTTGCACAAAATTTGACATTGTGTTCTGAATTGTGTCTAGAATGATGTGTGTTAAATTTTTTAGGAACTCTTAGAGTATAGATTTTTTCAAAGAATTTTTTTGGGACCATCAGACATTAGATATGTTTTGGGATAATCTGACATACATTTTTTTAAAAATATTTTTTTGGCACCTTCAGAGCGTAGAATGTTTTTTTCAGGGACGATCGAAGCGTAGATTTTTTAATAAATATTTTAAATTTAGGAACAATCAGATTATTCATATAGAAATAATACTTATTCAGTCACCTTCAGATTTTTTAAATGTAAAAAGGTCTTACCTTCATTTCAGAGATCCATATCTCGGGAAGTATGGACTTCCCCCTTTGAAAGTCATATAACTTTGTGATCATGGAGAAGAGACGAGAAAATTCCGAGATAATTGGACCTTTAAAAATTAAAAAAATCTATTACACTTTTATATTATTACAAATTCGATTCAATATAGAACTTACCTCCTTTAAAGTACCAAATTCGTAGGCATAGTGGAAAATGTTTTGACATACGCGATGTAATTTATAATGTAAAGTCAGTACCCTATATGGGCATAGTTTCCCATTTTCTTTTTTTTTTCTTTGAAAGACAGCTCCAATCAAGGTTTCTGTGCTTACTGATTGATTAGTTCTTTGGAAAGTTCAATTAAATTTAAAAATAATTGGCACACCCGTGAGAAATAATTCAAAACTTGTTTAAACTCACAAAAAAGAACTCGATTCAGATCGAAAGTACGCAACAAGAAAACTGGCAATTCCTTGAAACGAAGAAAAAGTTAACTGTTTATTTGACACTCAAAGCAGAATGACATCCCTTACTTTATGCGACAAATTACTGCAATTACGTATCGTCACGTAACAAATGTGTATTTACGGCACTTTTAGACTATTTGGCATTTTATAGCAACTAATACGTACTGTATATACTGTACAAACAAATATAAATATATTGTAGGTATTTCAGGCTGTTTTGTGCTTCCATCCACACTCCTTATTGTTTCATCTCTCACCCCCTCTGAGAGAAATGAATATTTTAGTAGGATACAATACTGTAGTCAATGAATATTTTAATAGGGTACAGTACTTATTTTTTATTGCTGAATGCTATAAAATTTTAGTTAGTCATGTCAAGTAACGCAATTACACATTTGTTACGTTACAATACGTGATTGCACTAATTATGTTCTCTTTACATTTTGAGATATCACTCATATGTGAATTACCAATTAACAGTTATCTTTTATATCATTTTCACTGAAGTTTGAATTTTCGTGTTCATTCATGTTTTTTTTCGCGTAAAATGCCATGTATTTTTGGAAAGAAAGTCAATCAAATAAAAATAAATAAAAGATTAAATAAAATAAAAAGAAATGTGTCATGGCCCCAAATTTATGGAGGTGGCCCTGAAAAAATAACCTTTAAAAAATCCGCGCCCTGAAAAAGTTGCCTTTAAAAAATCCGCGCCCTGAAAAAGTTGCCTTTAAAAAATCCACGCCTTTTGGTGCTGTCACTGAAAAAATAATCTTTAAAAAATCCACGCCTTATGGTGCTGTCACTGAAAAAATAATCTTTAAAAAATCCACGCCTTATGGTGCTGTCACTGAAAAAATAATCTTTAAAAAATCCACGCCTTATGGTGCTGTCACTGAAAAAATAATCTTTAAAAAATCCACGCCTTATGGTGCTGTCACTGAAAAAATAATCTTTAAAAAATCCACGCCTTATGGTGCTGTCACTGAAAAAATAATCTTTAAAAAATCCACGCCTTATGGTGCTGTCACTGAAAAAATAATCTTTAAAAAATCCACGCCTTATGGTGCTGTCACTGAAAAAATAATCTTTAAAAAATCCACGCCTTATGGTGCTGTCACTGAAAAAATAATCTTTAAAAAATCCACGCCTTATGGTGCTGTCACTGAAAAAATAATCTTTAAAAAATCCACGCCTTA